CATAAGCATGGGGGGGGGTCGTAGGGCCAAACCTACGACGTTCAAGACTCTAGCGACTTGGGATCCCCTTTGAGCCTCGTGAGCCCTTTCAGCGCGAGCCGTCAGGGCTGGGAGCGGGAGGGTTGCCTTGCGGAGGAGGGGCGAGAGGGACCGAAGGCATTTGGCAAACCCTTTGGTAGCCTGTATCGCCGTTGTCGTCGCCGTTTCCCCATCGTCGCTAATATCACCCATGCTGCCGAAGTCGCACGCGAGAGGGGCCTCTGTTGCAGCTGGAGTCGGTATGCCGTCTAGGGGAGCGGTCGCGGGGGTCAGCGGGGGAATGCCAACACCAAGTGGTGGGGCGGGGACGAGGCCCGAGAGCGGCGGGCATAAGGATGGGGTGGACTAGCAAAGAAAAAATTACATTAAGAAGGCGAGGGGGCGAACCGGTGAGTGCCGAAATTTGATGGAATTGGTGGTGGTTGTCGTAGTGGTTGGCGTGGTTGATGTTGTTCTTCTTATTGTCGGCGCAGTGGTTCTTGGATCTGAATCGCCCCATCCATGCTTCTGGACTCCCTGTCCAGGCTTCTGGAATATTGTGCCCGCTGTGCGAGCCCTACGAGATCCTAGGAGTTGCAATGCTTGGCCAAATCGTGATGCTGGTAATGGTGGTCCGGGATTTGGGTCTGATTATCCGTATGGTAGTATGTATGTATGTATGTATGTATGTATGTATGTATGTATGTATGCATGTATGTATGTGTATATATATATATTGTTTGAGATACGATGTTCTTGTAAGACATCTATCAATTGCCCATCACTTTATAGGCTCGGAGCAATTTCTCCTTTCGCCACACCTAAGCCCCGATAACAACCGACAAACAAACTAAAATTTCCGCGCCCAACCCCGTCCGCCTCAGCGGACATGTGGCACAAACGCCAAATCCTATACAATTCTACAAGGGCTGGCGCTGGAGGGGGGCCTGCTCCTTTAAGTAGAACTTTGTTAAGGAGAATATAGGTGGAGCCTGGTTTGGGCGATTCTGCTGGGGACGTCCTCGAACTCTGCCTGGATTGAGCCCTGGTTTGGTCTGGTCAGGCCTGGTTTGGCTTGGTTGGGCGGCGCAAGCCGCCTGAAACATTCTCCGAAACGTCCTGGCAATTTGCTTGGTTTCGCTTTGGTTTTGCCTGGTTTGGGCCTGGATTTGCTTGCGACGTCCTCGCAATTTGCTTGGTTTCGGTGCGGTTTCGCGTGAGACGTCCTCGCAATTTGCCTGGCTTCGATTTGGCTTCACCTGGTTTGGGCCCGGCTTCGCCTGAGACGTCCTCGCAATTCGGTCGGTTCCCCCTGGTTTGGGCGCAGTTTCGCGGCGTTCGGGCGAAAGCGCACGCCAACGTCGTCGTCGTCGTCGTCGTCGTCGTCGTCGTCGTCGTCGTCGTGGTCGTCTTATCGTCGTCGTGGTGGTCGTCGTCGGCCTCGTCGTCGTGGGGGGGCCTGGGCGCTCCGACGCACATTGTATTTTGTCACGTGGTGCTGGGAAGTGAAGGAGTCATTCATTCACACACGTGGTAGGCGTAAAGCTTCGGAACGTTATCGCCCCTGGGTGTTCCCAAGACACATTGTGTGTTCTCGATGTGTGTGTGACAGTCAACTGACATGTTACTCATGACGCGGGTGCGAACACGCGAAACAGGACGGTGTTCTGAACACACACACACACTGGCCACATGCTGCACTGTCGTGCTACAATATAACAGGGGCAATGGGTGGGCCACTGTATCACATGGTGCATCCATCGCTCATACAAATCTTCCTATTGAGCGGCGTTGGACCATGTGGCGGCGTTGGGAGAAAACCTTTCCCAGCCTCTAGCGCCGTAGTAACCAACCTTGCACAATTTACCAAAGAAGACCGTGCCACATATGCTGGAATCGGATGTGTTGCCAAAGACGTGAAAGTGCATAGCGGCACATCATACGCAAAACAATATACAACAGCAAGTCTATGTTCAAACGCTAATCGAAGTAAGAGAGACATTGCTCGTGGCAGTTGGTGGAGCTGCTGCCAGAATTGTAATTCTAGTGTGCGTATGGCTGCGTATATTTTGGCCTTTCGGAAACGGGCATACCTGGAATGTGAAGGAACCAACATGGATAACCACCAGGGTAACAATATGGACTGCTACCGGAAGAGTTCGACGTGATTCAACCGAATGCAAGACACCTTTTTCCGAAATAAGAAAAGCTAGAATGGGTATAAACAAGGAACTGGCATTGCAGAAGAAATATTGCCCCCTAGCGGCTTCTCCTTGGGGTACCCCCAGGCGGCCCCATCCTTGGCGCCCGTACGCCACGCCTGCAATATAGCGGCGAGTCAAGCTCAATAGATCTGGGTGTTAGTGGGTCTCAGTGTCAGTGAGTCTGAGGTGAGTCTGAGTGTGAGTGCATAAAAGCGTGAGTGTGTCTAATGTGAGTGCAGGTGGGTCTGAATGTGAGTTAGTTTGGGTGTGAGTGAGTCTGAATGTGATATGCCTGAGTGTGAATGGATCTGAAGATGAATGTAAGGTCTGATCATGAATTGATCGGAATATAAAAAAAGAAGACGGGAAGGAAGGAGGCGGCGTCACACTAATAACAATAACCCCATCTTAGGATACGGGGAACACCTCTCGGGAAGGAGTCCAGACCTCTACAGAGTCCGAGCTGTGAAGAAAATCACGACGTCGGACATCGGAAAAAAATCATGACATGTTCCAATCATTTTCTTGGACCTGCGGGCCGCCTTCGGGCCTGAAGCCATCGGAAAACGATCCGGGACGAAAAGCCGGTCTCGTGGAAGGGGGCGAAGCCTCCAGAGGTCCATCTTGATGTCGAGGGTCTGAGTCTTGCCTTCGACCTTTCAAGAGGATCGAGGAAGGACATATTTTGGCATTGTCGGGAATATTTTCGACGTTGTGGCCCCTCTTTGGAACTGTGGAGGCCTCCAAATGCTTCTGAACACCCCCGGGGGTCACGATACCCTACCCAAACCTTGCAGCGTCTCCCCGAACCTGGCCGCTTTGGTTCAATCACACGGTCGCTTTACTCTGCTGCGCTTCTGGAGGCCGCCCAAAATGGGGCTGAAATAGATGAGGCTTAGGTCGGGCATGTCCCCCTACAGGCGGATTTTGGACGAGAAATAAAAACACACAAACATACTCGAACATAATCAATGATACCGGAGAAAAGCCCCAATCACACTCTTTTTAGGGCTATAGGGCTATGGGGCTATGGGGCTATAGGGCTATAGGGTTATAGGGCCATAGGGCGATTGGGCTGTATGGCTATGGGGCTATACGGCGATAGGGATATAAGGCTATAAGGCGATAAGGCTATATGGCTATTGGGCTATAGGGTAATAGGGCAATAAGGCTACTGGGCTATAGGGCTATAGGCCTATGCGGCACCCAAGCACCCGGGCACCCGGGCACCGCGGAAATCGGCGGCGAACCTCACCCGGGCACCCGGGCACCCGGGCACCCGGGCGTGCCACCGAAATCGGCGCCATACCTCACTTAACCATATGAATCCGCTAGGACCCCTACAGAGGCAAACTCTGATAAGGGAAAAACAAGTGAAAAATCGTCCCTAGACTTTTATTTGATTACTTTTAAGTACTCCTCTTGTAAAGGGACGTGCCCGACTTAAGATGGGGTCGGTGGGTCGCACCGCATGCGCGGTCATCGCCGATGCGCTGGCGATGCATCCGCGACGTCGGCGCTGCATCGGCGACGTAGGCGTGCTGGTCGGGCTCCACATCGAATAGCATCGCCGATGCATCGGCGGTGCGGCGCGATCCATCGGACTCCATCTGGGAATCCTAGAACCTCTGGGAGCCGTCTCCGGGCCGTGCCTACCATACAAAAAACATCCGGGACGAACAACTGGCCCTGAGCCCACGGTTTGAAACATCACCCGGTGCGAGTGACTGAATGACTGAATGAATGACGCCGCGCGTTGGTAAGTAATGGCGCCAACGTGCGCCAGACAATCTACTTGCGCACTGCTGTTTTCCAAACTTCCGCTGGGAACGTGTCCATGTTTGATAGATATTGCGGGAGATCACCTGTATAACGCGCCTGCATGTGTCGGTTAGGAGACCTGCCAAAAGCTTTCATTTCTTGGCATGTTTGGGTTTTCGCCGGCGGAAGTGGCCTCGTTTTAATCCCGCCGCCTTCAGCTGGCCTAGCACCAGCTTCTTCCGGGGAAGAGATGCCAACTCACTCGATCCTCGAAGGCGAGCCCCTCTGGAGCGCCCAATGTGTGCACCTATTTCTCACACATTCAGTGATGAGTGTCCGCGTATGAACGAGTCTGAGCGCAAGTTGCATTCAGTATCGGTACCTGGGCACGAGTGCATGTGAATGAGGGTGCGACCGAGTATGCATAACTGAGTATGCGAGGATCTGGGTAAGAGCTGGTTCGAGTTTGAGCGGGTCTGAATGCAAATTCATCGAATAGAACCGAGTCTTGTTATGAGTGGGCGAGCGAAGATGAATACGAGTGGGCCTGAATCAAGCTTGAGTGCGAACGGGTCTTAGCATGACCGTCTGAGTATGAGCGGCTAGTTGAAACGCAACATGGTAGAGTAACATTCTGTTTGTTGCTATCAAAACAGTTTTGTTTCTAAGGAAACTTGTGGGCGGGACTAAAAGTCCGCCAGGACGGTCGGTTCTTACTCAAAGCGCAGAGTGGAAAATAAACAAGGGTAGGGTATCAGGTATGAAAGGGTCTGGAACTGAACCTGGGTGGGTCTGACTATGAGTGGGTGAAAGTCTGCATGGACCTGGGCACGAAAGGTTCTCCTCAACATGAATGAGGGCAACCCATGGCTTCCTTCGGCCTCACTGGGCCTCTTTCGGCTTCCTGGACCCCCTATGGGCCTTCCGGGAGCCTCCTGGGGGCTTGTGGAATCTCCTGAGGCCGCCAGGCCTGGGATACCTGGGGCCTCCTGGGGCCTGTTGGCGCCTCCCTCGGCTTCCTGGGGCCTCCTGGGCCATGCTGGATGTCCCTGGAGCCTCCTGGGACACTCCTGGCTTTTCTTGCACCTGCTCTCCTCGACACAGCTGGGAAGCATCCGCCGCCGCTAAGAAGAATCCCGTCTCAGTCCATCTCTCTCAGGACGCCGACCTCCCTGACGGGCGGCGCCGGGGTGCCCACCGCGCTCACCGCGCTCGCCCGGGTCCCAGCGGAAGTGGACGGCGAGTGTGCGGGATCTCGAGGACCGTCGCGATACGACCTGCGGCTGGAGCAATGGGAGCGCGCGGTGTGGAAGGACCGGTCCGTGGCCGGGGTGTCCGGCTGCCCGTCTTTGCCGACGTCTCGCCGCACCAGCCCCAGGGGCAGCTTCAGCGCCGCCAGGAGAGCTGGGCCCGTCGCGCCCGCGGCGCCGCCATCATCTTGCACAGACACGCCCACGGAGCCGTCCTTGTCAACCGCCAGTCGAGCTCCAGGCGGCAGCAGGCACCTGCACAGCACTCCCAAGCGGACGGTCAGCTCCTGCTCCCACTCGTGCACGGGGCACTCCCAGGAGCTCACCTTCGCGGACTCAGAACCCTGACTCCTCATCCGCCGTGCTTTGTGCGATTTCGTAAGTAGCTCCTTGGGTATCGATTTCCGCCCTACTTTGCCGTCGATGTTTCCGCCGTACTTTTGCTGAAATGCCCGCCCTACGTTTCTGCGGCGGAAATTTCAGCTCTATTTTTTCGCATCGTTCGGGAGGCATGTCTGATACGCTTTGAAGTCGGAAGATCAATCAAAATACGGCGGATCCGGAGTCAGGGAACCCCTTTCGCAAAGCGCCCGGCACTGCATTCCGAAACACCCGGGCGGATTAGCTAACCGACCCCCGAAAACTACCGAATTCATCGGGCGAAACCAGCACAAGACTGAATCGGCAGCCTGTGAATGCCGATGCCCGAGTGAGCCAGGTTGCAGAACTGCTCAATCGACTTGTCTGTGTGAACGTCCCCTAAGATCCGACGGCGCGACAAGTTGCACCATCGTGAAAAATCACGACCGGAGCCCTAGACTCCAACTTTCTGCGGCACTTTTCGATCCGAACCCATCTGTGAGGGTCGGTCCCGGCGCCCGAAGCCAGGCGAAAGCGCCCGCTGCGAAACATTGCGACGCCTGGATCTCAGGGTTGTCTGGAGGCCAGGCGCCTTCAGGACTTTATTGTAGTAGTACTCGCCCCCGTCCGGGGCGGCGTACGGCCCGCTCCAGTGCTCGAGGCCCTTCAGTGCGCGCTGGTGCACCTCGCGCAGGTGGCCGTGCACAACCGTCGCGGGCTCTGCGCCGAGGTCAACCTCGCTCCGGACGCGCAGGACGAGGCCGATCAGCTCTCGGTAGACTGCGTCCATAGGGTGCTCCCACGTGCTCGCGTTGGAGGCCTCGTGGAAGAAGTAGACTCGCTCTTCGTCGTCCTTGGAACGGGGGGCATGCCGACCCCAACCACCGACCCGATTGGGTTGTCGACCACACCAGAAGTGGGGCCCAGCTCGTGGATATACGATGGGGTGTCCTCGATAAGGGGTGCTTCCGAACAGCCCTCGGGTGTGAGTTTGTCCCCGAGCGCCGCGGCTCACGCGGGCCGCCAGCGCGGCGCGCCACATTCAAGCGAGGGCGCTTACGCGCCTATGTCGGTGAAGACGAACCAGTTTTTGTCGTCGCCTATGTGAACCCTACCCCTGCGTGTCCGATTTCGGGAAAACGGGCTGGGGCTCATAACTTTGAAGGATGTCTGCAGCCAAATGAATCCCGTCTGGGTATCCGATACCCTTGTCGATTGGACCCGTAATTAGGGGTGGGGTTCGCAGGTGGCCGCAGAAAGAAATCGCATGCGATCCTTGTGCTCCGACCAGCCGAGCGGCAGGGGGGCATTGAACGCCTCCTGCACCACCCAGAGCAGGTCCGCGTCGGCAGACACGTCGCCCTCAACGCCGAGGATGCGGCTGTACTCCTCTGATGGGAAACGATGAGAGGGACCGGCCCACGGGGGGGAACACTGCTTTGGATCGGCGGAGCGCCCAGGGGGGAAGGAAGAGGGGGTGCGATGGCTTCTGAGAAGCCAAGCTGTCTTCTGAGAAGGCCTGCCTCCTCTCACTTCGACCCTGGGAGCTCGGCCGATTGGAATCGGCGACGTATCGACGATGGATCGGCGAGGTGCCTTCGACAGCGAGACCGCGCGCTCCTGCGCGGGGGTGGGTGGGGGGCCAGGGCCCCAATCGGCGAGGAAAGGGCGGCCGGGGGTCGATGCGTCACCCCCTGGCCTCTGGCCATCGGGACATATTTCGGCCCTCTGGCGACCGTGTGGGGCGACCTGGGCACCCCTGGAGCGTTCTGCGGCAGCTCACGGCAGCCTCCCATGCCATGTTGTTGGCTCTTGGAGATCGACGCTGCATCGAACTTCATCGACGCTGAATCGGCGCTATCTGATCGATTACCAAATGCTAATCGACGCTGGTGCAAGCTTAAGACGGAACAAACAGGGTACACAAGGCTTGCATGATTTGCTACCTAAGGCTCTCGGCAAGGCGCAGCTGCTGGAGAGCGCCCCGAGGCTGGAAACCCGCCGAGAGTACAAAGGGCGCCCGAACAAAAACGCTCGTTGCAAGCCTCCGCGCCGGAGGAGGAGGAGGAGGAGGCGGAGGCGGAGGAGGAGGAGGAGGAGGAGGCGGAGGAGGAGGAGGAGGAGGAGGAGGAGGAGGAGGAGGAGGAGGAGGAGGAGGAGGAGGAGGAGGCTGGGCGGTCGTCGCACGAGGCGCAGCGGGGTCGCCCCGAGCGGCCCTGTCTGCAAGGCTCCCCCTGATCCTCCAGGTCCGCCACCTGCAGCGTCTCAGCTCTCGGCTCCTCGTCCATGCCGAGCTCGGGGCGCGGGCCGGCTGGGCCCACCGCGCGAGGGGGGCATGGAGCTCCCGCTGGGGCGCGGGGCTCGGCCGAGGCCTCGAGCAGGAGGAGGAGGAGGAGGAGGCGGAGGAGGAGGAGGAGGAAGAGGAGGGGGGGATGAGGATGAGGATGAGGATGAGGATGAGGATGAGGAGGAGGAGGAGGAGGAGGAGGAGGAGGAGGAGGAGGAGGAGGAGGAGGGGGAGGAGGAGGAGGAGGAGGAAGGGAGGAGGAGGAGGAGGAGGAGGAGGAGGAGGAGGAGGAGGAGGAGGAGGAGGAGGAGGAGGAGGAGGAGAACGCGTCTCGGGCGAAGCTTTGTCGCCACGTCTGGATTCCACCCATAACCTCGCAGCTCGAAGGCGGCTGAAGGGTGGGCCCCACGCGGGCGTTGCACGCCGCTGCCGTCGCCACCTGGGCCAGGCGCACTCGGGGCAATAGCTGGGCGAGGAAGAGGGGGTGGAGGCATGGCCCTGGACCACCCCTTGCCCCTCATTAGTGCCACCTTGGTGTCATCTCTTGGGCTCCCGTCGGGCCCTCTGCCGCAGAAAAGGCGTTCTACCTCGACACTCTACGCGCGAACGGGCCCATGCCCCCTGGCGGCTCCCCCTCATGGTGGGGGCCGACGTGGCGCACCTCGCACCAGCATCGTGCACCTGGACTCTGTATTGGTTCTGAGTAGCTGCCCATCTTAGGTGTTGAAAGGGCGGGTGGCATTGAGCCAAACAATTTGCGTCTGGTAGAGGTGTCTGGACCACTGTCCGTTTTGAATATTTTCTCCGTAGGCTTAAAGAACATTTCAATTTTTGGGTAAATCGATTCTGGAGTCGATCCCCTACTCGAAGATAGAGTGCGCGGGCAGCCCACGTGTTGCTATCCCCGCGCAACACGCGTGCGCCGCCAGCGGCGAACCCGCTCCCAGAGCCGCCCGCACACTCCTGGAGCTGCGGTCCCTTCTAACCAGGGCCCCTGAATTGGGACCCTGAGGCCAATGGAGATCTCAACCTTCCCGGGTGCACGGGTCAAACACAGTGCCGAGTCAGCGCGCGTGTGCTTCCAGCACCTCCGAGGGGACTCCCCTCCTCACATGAGGGCTGGGCGGCAGTGGCAGCCGCCGGTACTGCAGCGGGGGCGGTCGTCGGTGCTGCCGCAGCTTCTGGGGGAAGCTCGGTTTCGGCGCCTTCGTCGGTGCCGCCGTCGGCGTTGCGGTCGGATCCGCCGTCGGTGTCGTCGTCGGGACTGCCGTCGGCGCCGTCGTCTGCGCTGCGGTCGGCGTTGGTGCTGGCACCGCTGCTGGCCAGCGATGGTGTCGACCCCGTCGTCGGTGGCGCAGCAGGTGCCGGCGTTTGCGCTGCAATCGTTGCTGTCGTCGGCGCCGTCGCTAGGACTGCAGTGGGCGCCGCTGGTGCCATGGTGCACGCCAGCGCAGGCGCTGGCCTTGGTACCAGCGTCCGTGCTGGTCCTCCAGGGCACTGCGGCCTTTGTGGCGACCTCACCCTGCCTGATCATCGCGGCCGACTGTCCCTGTCCAGTTGGGGCCGTCGGCGCCAGCGGGCGGGCCTTTGGCACCGCCGCCCTCGACAACACTGCCCAAGCTGTCCGCAGGCCGCTTGGCGTCGGCGACGCCTGCGTAAGAGGCGCCGGTGTCATCCAGGTGCCCGATGTCGGGCCGTTCCCTCGGTGCAACCGTCGTGTCGGTGCCGGCGTCGACGTCGGTGGCGCCAGAGTCGACGTCGCGGTCTTCGGCATCGCATACGTCGTCGGCGTCGGTGACGTCGTCATAGTCGTTGGCGGTGGCGGAGCCGCTGTCGACGTCGGCGTCGGCGCAGGCGCCGCCCCCGTCGTCGAATAGGGTGTCGTGGTCGGCCACATTGCGGGATGCGGGAGCTGACCGCTGTCCTCTGCGCAGACGTGGGCGTCTGCCGCGGCGTCGACATCCTCGCAATGAGGGTAGGGGCCACCTGGGGCGTCGACGTCGACGTTGCCATGCGGGCCTGTGGCGGTGACTCCGTCCCCGAAGATCTGGGCACTCCCCGGCGGAGGCGAACGGATAGCCGCCAATGGCAACGCCCTGGGCATCGCCGTCCTCGTCCTCCGCGCCCCAAGACGGGGTGCCTTGGCCCCTGCAACTGAAGCCAATGCTGGACGCCTCACCGTATTTCTGACAACAGGTGCGGCGGCCGCGCCGGCTGCGCCCCCATCTCGAATGCGCCGTGCGGCGGCCGCGCCGCGCGGCTCGCGGCGCTGAAGGCGCGCGCCGAGCCGTCAAGGTGTGACGGGCGGCTCGCGCCGGAGGCGGGCCAGGAAAATGGGCCTCCGGGCCATCCTCCCACCTCGGGGCTTGCGCGCCCAGCTCGCTCTCGGAGTTGCGCGGCGGGATCCAATGTGAGGGCCCAATCGCCCCAGTCAGAGCCAGTCAATCCGCCCTCGACCGCCAGATTGGAATGCTTCTCCGCGGGGTCGCTGGGCGTCACCACCTTCCCGCCGCAGTCGCCTGCCGCGGCGGCGGCGCCTGCGGTCTTGTTCTGGGGCGCCTCGCAAAACGTGCAGCAACCCTCGGTCCGCACCCGGCCCGACGCTGGGGCCCTGGATATCGCACTGGGCCCGTTCGGGGTGTCCGCGGGCGCCAAGTCATCCTTGGGCGGCGCGTGGCCTGGAAACCTGGCGGTGGTCTCGGGCACGGTATATCCAATCGCCTCCAGCGCGAATTCGGGGTGTAATTCTCGCCGGCCCCCGGTAGTCTACAGGCGCAGCCCCTGCGCGCAGGGTTGGGGGCTGGAAGGCTGGATCGGGACGCGTTCGCCCCCGCCCCCGTCAGCCCCCGCCGCCCCGGCCAGTGGACGCGAAGGGGGAGGGGGAAAAGGGAGAGGGGATGGGAGGGGGCGGAGGGGGCAAGAAAACACTTCCCCAACCAGATTCCCAACTGGCGGTCCCCATGGGACATTCGACGCCACGATGGCCCCCGCACTTGCCACCGCGCACGCGCCCCCCAACGCGCGTACACGGTCGACACCTCCGCCTCTGGTACAGGACCCTTCGTGAGCACTGCTCCTATCGAGGTACAAGACCCCCGCCAATGGGAGCAACGCTAGACTGCTCCATGGCGACGCGGAAGCGAGGGGCGGTCCGCGGGGCACTGGGGTCGGGACAGGGACCCCCGTTCTTGTGTCCAGGCGCCTGCGAACATTTGCGCCCGCATAGCTGCGCATCCCAAACGGAGGCAAGCTACCACCATGGGGCCGGCAGAAGCCGCACAACGAACACTGCGCGAATCGCCGCCGGCGCGCGGTGGTCAGGCGCAGGCAGGGGCTCGCGCCGAAGTTGCGTCGCAAGACCTCGGGAAGTCGCCATCACCGCCCTTCGGCCCGTGCAAAGGCACGCGCTACCCTCACCCGTCCCAAAACACGCGCAACCTTCCGGCTTCAGGTCGATTATAGCAGGGACGCCGTGTGTCCACAAGAGATCACAGGAATAGCACAGGGGCTCATTCCTGGGCACAGACGCAGGTCCCAGTCGAAAGACGTCAATCTGAAAGGGGGCACGGGACTGGGATGAGGAGGCTACTCGTGCCCACATTCCAGCGTGGGTTGGCCGTGCTGGCCCGCCAACGCGTCACGGGTGGCCCGAACGACAGCTCGCCTCCTGGCGGACTGGTTGCGCAGCCCCAGGCCAGCCTGGCGGCCTGGGTAGCTTTCTGGGCTTGCTTTTGTCCGATTCGGCAGTCGTTGGGCGCGCCAGACGGTAGGCCGCGGCGCCGCGGCCCTGGGAACAAGGCGCAGGCGGGTGAGGAGCGGAGCCTGCTCGGGTGGGTACATGCAACTTGCGCTCGTAGCCCGCGCTCGCGTTCGATGCGCGGGACTGTTCAGGGCACGCACCGCAGAACGCACCAACGAACACGCGCACTCCAACGCACCCCTTTCATATAATCTGCACCTCGCGGCGCCCAGCGGGCTTGCGGCAGACTATCATCCTTGCTGGCACTGCGTTTGGTGGCGGTGCGCGCAACTAGCGCGGGCGGCCTGGTGCCATAAGCAGAATGGCCTGCAGCGGCGTACGAACCAACGCAAGCGAGCGATAAAGGCCATGCCGCGTACGTTCTAAGGGAGCAGCGCGTTTGGATGCCCCCTTGCGACTGCATGGTAAGGCCCTTCCCAAGTGGCTTCAACGCCTGCGGGTCTCGCAAAAATCCTTACCCGCAGATGCGCGCAGTCTACCCGCGCATGGCGGCATGACCCAATACATGAGATGTGGGCATGCCTCCGGGTAGGCCTCTAGGTAGACTGCTCAGAATGCTTCCAGAAGCTCTCCCGCGCCAGATCTCCAGGCTGCTTGTCCGCGGGGGGCCACGTCCGCACGCGTGCAGCGCATGTGTTGGCGCTGCAGGTCCGGGGCAAGCGCGGCCAGCTCCGTCCTCTTTTCAGCTGCCATCGCCGCCTGGGCCACAGCGGCGGCTTCGGCCGTCTGCGCGGCGGCCGCGGCGCTCGCGCGCGGCGCGGGAAGCGGCTGCTTGGCCCGCAGTCGGTGGCGTTGGGCGGCTGCGGCGAGGGACATGCCGCGGGCGCTCCGCGGGCCAGTCGGGGCTAAGCTTCGTCGCTCGGGCGCCGGGGATGGCGGGGCCGCAACGGCCGCGGATTCCGGTGTGCAACCAGCGCTGGCCCTTCTGGGGTGGCCCTTGTCGTGCCCCGTCCTTTTTTTCACGTATCGCTTGTATTGCTCGTCCCATCGGTCCTGGTTTAAAGCGACGTTCGGATCGCTCGTAGAAAGAGAAATAATTATTTCAATTGAATATTTTCCCCTAGCGGGCGATATAAACGATACATGAAAAACAGGGCCGGGTGGGGAGAGCGATGCGAGCGATACGTGAAACATAAAACCGCCGGTGCACTGCGGCGCACCTGGCGCGTCTGGCGCACTCGGCGCACCTGGCTTCGTGATTGTCATGGCGGGAATCCTGCGCATCCGCTGGATAATCCGCACCCCGCGGAGCCCAGCGGGCCTGCGGCAGACCGTCATCCTTGCTGGCAGTGCGTTTGGTGGCGGTGCGCGCAACTAGCGCAAGCAGCATGGTGCCATAAACAGACTGGCCTGCAGCGGTGTATGAACCAACGCAAGCAAGCAATAATGGCCATGTCGCGTACATCATACGGGAGTAACGTGTTTGGGTGCCGCTTTGCGACTGCCTGGTAAGGTCCCTCCCAAGTGGCTTCGGCGCCTATTGGTCTCGCAGATATCCTTACCCGCAAGTTCGCGCAGTCTACTCGCGCATGGCGGCATAACCCAAGACATGTACAAGTAGAGGGAAACAATTAGTGGACGCTCCCCCGCCCCAAAAAACTCGAAGTTGGCACGCGCGGGGGAGACTGCGGTCGAAGTGCAACTCAGCCAACCCACCGCCAATATTGATCATGGCGGGGCATTGACAGATGAATGCGGCATGACTGTTCGCTAATTTTTCCCGAGGCCAGGCTGGGGTCCGAGCAGATGGGGTCGCAGGATTGCGCCGAATCGCAGATGTGTCGCCGATGCATCGGCGATGCATTGGCGTCATCGGCGTGGATAAAATCGAGCTCCACATCGAGCCGCATCGTCCATGCATCGGCGATGCGGAGCGATCCTTGGACCCCACCTGCTCGGACCCCACGTGGGATGCCTAGAGGCAGGGCCGTGGGTCACGGAACACACTTGCCCCCAGCGGCTGAGTGACGCCACCACATCGAGAGCCGAGGCGGGACACGCTTAGCGAACATTCCATCTGGCGTTGCAAACGAAGGGACTACGGTCGGACCGAAGACAGAACACCCTTCAAGAGCGTGAAACCCTCCGCTGGCCAAAACATCCCAAATCAGAACATCACTCGAGGGTACGGTGCACAAGAACAGCCAACAAACACGAAGAATTCTAGGGTACCCTCCCCGAGCCGACCTCGATCTTATATCCCGGTCCGACCGTAACGCCAACGTGTGTTAGTCCATCGGAGCCCTTCAATACGACGCAAGTGGTGTAGCGACGGCCGACACAGGCCGAACGGGGTAAACACACATTGAGCTGACACACGTCCTGAGGGTCAAGGAAAAGTGCAAACTGTGAAACGAGTGCACCACGCCAGAGTTCTGTGAGGGAGGGGCCCCTTCCTGCTCCTCGATCTTCGATCGGTTTCCAGGAGGGTGGTGGTGGCGGCCCCCTGAAGGTGGTGAGCCCCCCTCGAAGCGCTGCCCGAGCGGGTGGCGCGGACCACCCGCGCTCGAGGCTCGGGCGCGCCGATTGGAGGGGGGCGTGGAGAGCGGAGAGGAAGAAATCGGGGACCACGACCAAGACTGAACGCGGAAACGTCGCTTCGGTCTTGGTCTCCGTCCATCCTGGTCAGCGCTAGTTCGTGGATCATCCTCGCGAGGCGGCGACGCAGGCATGGACCATGACCGAAACGGCGTTGACGAGATCCCGCGACGTCTTGGTCACGGTCAGTGTGCTTCTCTCCTCGGGAGAGGGGGCCAGCGCAGCACGGCACGAGGCACGTGCGCGGACGAGCAAGGGAGGACCGAGAGGCCCACCCTGCGGAACCGCCTGGCAAGACATCCCGCGGATGAGCCGATCGAGGGAAGTCCGCACTGGCGGTTCCCGAGAGGCCGCCAGCAGCCAAGGCAGACCCTCCCGCAACTCCACGCTCGACTACGGGAAGACCGCGCTGGCCGCCAGGGGAGGCCCTCCGATGCTATAATAAGCGCAACCCGTCAATAAGGACGCGCGGCAAGGACGCAAGGGCCTTGGAGGGCCATGTTAACGTTTTCGAGCGAGGTTCGCCCGCGCAAGTCGCTAAGAACGGGCCGAAGGGGCAAGCGCGGCCCTGCCTTGCGCGCGGAGGCCCGGCAGAGGCGCTCGGGGGCGACCCGCTCGGCGGGTTGCGGCGTCCCCCCCCCCGGCGGGTTGGGCGCGGAACAGTGCAGTGCTATCGACGTACGTATTAAGCCTATCGGATGTTCGTTGGGATGTCGTGGGAAGCCGCTCGGGGGCCTCTTGGAGGCAATTTGGAAGCCTCTCGGGGCCGTTTTGGACCCTGGGGGCTCTTTGAGGGCCTCCACGCGTTTCGTATCCAGGCTGTCCGGAAAAATCTACTCGGACGGACGTTCAAAACTCGAACCGTGCATTTGTTAACCAGGCCCATATGTCTATCGGATTCTATCGGGGTGTTTCGAATCAGCGAGCCTGCCCACGCTCCACGGGCAGGGGCGAGACAGCGCCCCGATGGCTCCGAAACCGAAGGGCTGCGCGGGCCAACCGTGCTCGCGTACAGCAGGTCTGCGCGTCTGCGCGCAGCGGGTGTGCGCGGCACCTCGCCATCGTTCGGACGTCAATGCGTTTTTTCGGTCTCGTGCGCAAGTTCTTCCCAAGGCACATATCTTCGCGCTGCGCACTATGCGAAGCGCGAATCTTTTGACGTTTTCGCGCCGCCCCCACCCCGGAACAGGATGATGGACTTGCGCATCGCTTTGAAATCGCCCAGGCCGCGAAGCGCGACTCACTTCGCACCCTCGTGGTGGCCCCAGATTTCTCAGCGAGATGATCCAAGATGCCCCTCGATGGTCCTCGCCGAGGAAGAATCGGCGGCGAGCGAAGGGGAAGAGAGAAATGACGGGCCTTCTCAGAATGCTCGGGAATCCGTTCTGAGAGATGTTCCACACCGTGTCAGAATAACAAACAAACATCTTTTCGGAAGGCTGGAAGGTTCCTGAGAAGCCCCGCCGGCTCCCGAGAGGGCCCTCCCCATCTCACTCCCCCCCCGTCGCTCGCCCTTCCTTCCGTTCTGAGAGGGCCACGATATCCACTCACCCTTCTTTCCTTCTTTCCGAGCGGCTTGACGGCGCTCGCCTGGTCGGGGCCCCGCGGCCGGCCGGGCCGCCTAGCGAGGCCCTCATGTTCCGCGGGCGACACCGAGCGTCTGCCGCGCGGGCACCGTCCCTGCGGCGGAGAAACGTCGTGGCCACGATGCAGTCGAACCATGGCAACAACAAGCGCCCATCAAGAACACGAGCTCCTACGCCTGGAGCCCAAGGCCCCGTAGAGATACGCCAAAAGAGGGCCAGTCCAAGGTGGAGGGCCCAAGCAAGAGTAACATAAGGATGCCCCAAATCAGGGTTGTTCTGAAACCTCGCTCCAGCTGTGTCCACCCACCCTGGCCCTCAATCTCCTCTTCCACGCCGGTGCAGGGTGGGCGGATGCTTTTATCCCGCCATGATGTCGACAACCATGCGCCGCCACTGGTTTTTGGGCTGCAGCGGGCACGTGCGTCGGGAGCTCTTGCTGGAAAGAACCTCTGGGGCACGTGTGTCGTCGATCTTTGAGCCTCCTGAGCTGCCCCAAGGCTTCTGTGGGGCCCAACGGCCATCGGGGGACAGGCCCTGTCTTGTTATTGCTCGAGATAACGGGCGTGATCGGGGGAGGGTGGGGGGGGGGGGGGGAAGAAAGGTACCCTTGTCGGGCACCAAAAACCCCCTTCTGGGCCCGAGCGGGCCCCTTTCAGGGGCCCCTGTCCGACAACCCTCGCTGCCCCCACACGTATCGCCCCCCCAGCACGCGCCCCCGAACAAAAATGGGTTGGGTGACCCCGGTAGCGCTTGTCCAGGCCCCCCGGAACCCTCCAGGACAGCTCGAAGCAGAGTCCCCCCCAAATCAGACCACCCCCGAATGTGAGATTCGGAAGGACCCACTGTGACGTGCGCTTTCACCGAATGGAGTTCCTCTGCCGCCGTCGCGCTCTTCGGGTGCAGAAGCTCCCCCCCTCCTCCTCCTCTTCCTCCTCCTCCTCCTCCTCCTCCTCCTCCCCATGACGTCGTAGAAGTCATCGTGCTGACATAAAGAACGCCGAATGGAGCACCGAGAGCGCCTTCTTTTATGGCCACGGGCAGCCCTGGCCACGGACAGGCCTTTCCCCCGACCTAGATCTGAGGGCCTGTGGCTCCAGCATGGTGCTGCGACGCGCAGAGGCCCGCTGACGGGACAGGGAAGCGGAGAAGGAGGGACCACAAGGAACGCCGAACAACTAGGGGAACGAACAATGACATAAACATAAAAAAGCTCGGAGGTCCGCGCGGGTTGCTCGGATCGGCGCTGGACCCCCCCCCTGGCGGTTCCTCTGGCGCCGCCCCTGGCGCGCTCTGCGCGCCAGGGAGAGGGGTCCAGCGCCGATCCGAGAAATCCGCGCGGACCTCTGTCATTGCTTGTTCCCCCAAATAAGGAATGAAGGGGCAGCTCTGGCCACGGAGAGAGTGGGCCCTCGGAGACGTTGCTCAACCTGGATCTGCTGCACGGCCCAGGAACCAGAGCCACTCCTGAGCCGAAGGCGTTCCTTATGTCAGCGTGTTGGCTGTAGGCGGCAGGGACGCCATGTGTTCAAAGGACAACGTGCCGTCGGATCGCGCGAGAACAACAAGGGACACTGCGCCGCACAGGCCACGCATGCGACCCGCCGTGCGCGCGCCCTTCGGAGCCGGCGGGCGGCATCGGCCGAGCGTGGTCCAAAGGGTCAAGGACGTAGGAATGAACTTGTGGAGCTACTCCGCCCGTGAACGGAAGCTTGACTGCATGCACGTGCACACGCGCGCACGCCATTGCGTCCCGACAGAAGATGGGGAGGGATGCATTTCTGAAGAAGGCGGTCAGCGATGTGGCACACTGGAGCGCGGAGGACGTGAGCGAGGGAGGAGCAAGAACATTGCCCTACGGAGATAGAACACTGTCCTACGGGAACACGGCAAAAGCAGCCAGCGACAACGAATCAACGCACCCTATGATTCAGTCGCGACGGAGGCGGGAGCGACGAGGGAGGGAGAACAGAGAACTGGCATCTCCGTGCCCATGCGCTGCAATTGGGGCGAAGAGCACCCTGTGGAGGCTGGAAGCCTTTCCAGAAACTGAAGCAGGTGGATGCAAGTTCGCTCTCCAGAAAGCAAGTATACGCAGCTCAGGTTGGTGCCGCAACATGGACACAACAAAACATGAAGCACACCGAGAATATCACAAGAGCGGCCTGCCTTAGACGAGCTCATGCAATCACAACCCTGACGTTACGTGTCAGATGATGTGCTCCCCAGCGGCTCGCTGTCCAGGAACCCGTTGCGAGGCACGAAATTATCTGCGATGTCTGCTGTCGGGAACGCCCCTTCCCACCTCCGTTCGGAGAGGCGGGGCGCCCGTGCTGCGGGGCATGAGGGCCCGGGCGCGACCGAACGGCCCGTCGGCTCGGAGCTGTTACGGAATCCTCCACCCATCCTCTGGGAATGCGGAGGCCTGATCGAATTTTGAGATGCTGTCTGGTAAGGTTTCTGCAGATCTTCCAGGACCCTCACCCCCTTCTCCCTCCCATCCCCCCTCCCAACTCCCCCCACCCCTCCCTCTCCTCCTCCTCCTCATCCTCCTCCTCCTCCTCATCATCATCCTCCTCCTCCTCCTCCTCCTCCGTCCTCCTCCTCCTCCGATCTCCCACACACACACACCCCGTGGGCATGCATCCCACCCCCTCCCCACGCCTCCCGAGGCCCCCTCGGCGGCCCGACGCTTCCTCGGGGCTCTCGACGGCTGTCCACGACATCTAAGACGGAAGCCGCCAAGTGCTGCCATAATGGCCCAACGTTGCCTCAAGAGGGATCCGACAGCTCTTGAGGAACCCCCAAGAGGCCCTCATGAAACCCCGAGCGGACTCCAAGACATCACAGCGAAGGCCTGGAGGCTATCCAGTAAGGCCCAAATCAGTCAGAAGCCTGACGACATCAGCGTAAGTTTGGATCTGTTGTGTTTCGTGGGGCTCTCGGCTCAAGAGTGCTCCAGGAGGGCCTCGGAGGAGCCAAAGAGAGGCCATAGAGTCAAATGAAGGCCTCCAGAAGAAGCTCCCCAGACGGCCAAGGGTGGCCCCAGTAGGGCCCCGTCCCAAGAGGGGCCCAAGACAGCCGCAGAGGGCCCCCAGATATCCCAAGAGGGCCCCCAAACGCCCTCAAAGCAATTGCAAGAGACTCCACAGACGGTCGAAAAGTTCAAATGTGAACACAGGCGTGTTCGACAACTCCCCGGCTTGATGGATTATTCCCCAGTCGTGATGGATTACTCCCTGGTCTGGATTCTAAGAATGAGGAGTGAACCATTTAGGAAGATGTGTTCGGAACTTGGACGTGCCGTCGGCGCGCCCTCTAACTGTTCATTCGGCACCCTCAGGAAGCTCATCGACTGCTCATTGGCAGTTGTTGATTAGCTCCAGAGGTATTTCGATATGCGTTTCTACAGCTTCACGCATGACAGTGTGCGACATGGTTTATACAGGTTGAAGCCATAGCCGGTAGATGGAATCCAGGACACCTACGTACTTATACATAAAAAAAAACACAATGACCACATGCAAAAGCCCGTTCGGTTGTTCGGGCTGGTTTTGGGGGGGGGTTCGTCGCGCCGGTCACGCCACGGCGGGGGTGCGCCTGGGGTGCCGCAACATGCCCGTAAGCACCGCAGTGCTCCTGCGAAAAACAATCGCCTGCGACCAGACAATCACGACGTGCCTGTAACCAGCGCCACAAAAGCTTGCGATCCGATCAACGCGACGTGCCTGTGAACACCGCAATGCTCTTGAAGAGCACAGCGTCCGTGAACACCACAGCGCCTGTGAACATCAAAGCGCCCATGAACACAGCGCCTGCGAACACCACAGCACCTGTGAATACCACACCCCCTGTGCACACTATACAGCTGGAAAACACCACAGCGCTTGTGAACACCACAACGCCTAAGAACACAGCGCGCGCGAGCACCGCAGAGCTTGGGGTCCGGCGGCAGTGCGCAAGCACTAGCAGTAGCAGCAGCAGTAGCAGTAGTCGTAGCAGCAGCAGCAGCAGCAGCAGCAGCAGCAGCAGCAGCAGCAGTAGTAATAGTAATAGTAGTAGTAGTAGTAGTAGTAGTAGTAGTAGTAGTAGTAGTAGTAGTAGTAGTAGTAGTAGTGGTCGTAGTAGCAGTAGCGGTCGCCTCCGGACGACCGCCGCGACGTGACTAGAGGAAGCGGGGGGGGGGGGGGGCGGGCCCGGTCACGCGCGTGATCGCAGGGGCTTTTCCTAACGGGCTCCAACATAAAAATTAAGGCATTGATAAGGCATGGCACGCACAAAACAAACATTCAGCTGAGACATGATACATACATGCCTGGGTTGCAAGCCCAACAAGTCCAACGTTTAAAGCATGATGTGAGCCTATGGAACTCGCATCTAACCCAGGTGATACACGTAAGCATGGCACCAGTATGGGTGGGCTTTCTCCATCTGGGAGGCACGTATCCTACACAACTGCGGCATCGTGAACATAACAAACACATCATTGAGGCGATGATGCAACATGGCGTAAACGACGTACAATCACAACGAGCGCATGGATAGCACACACACACCACGAACATACACTACACACCACCACACACCACACACCACACACCACACACCACAGAAGACACAAGACGCAAGACACAAGACACAAGACACACGACACAAGACACAAGACACAAGACACAAGACACAACACAACAACACCTAACACCCAACACACAACACACAACACACAACGCACACAACACACAACGCACAACACACACAACACAGACAACACTGACACCACACACACCACACAACATACACACCACACACATCACACAACACACAACACACATCGCACAACACACACAACACACAACACACAACACACAACACACAACACACAACACACAACACACAACACACAGCACACACAGCACACACAACACCCAACACACACAACACACAACCCACAACCCACAACACACAACACACACCACACACACCACACACAACACACACCACGCACACACAACACACACAACACACAACACACAAAACACACAACACACAACACACGCAGCACACACAACGCACAACACGCACAACACGCACAACACACACCACAACATACACAACACACAACACACAACACACACAACATACACAACACACAACACACAACACAGAACACATACAACACACAACACACACAACACACACAACACACACAACACACACACAACACACACAACCCATACAACACACACACACCACACACAACGCACACAACACACAGAACACGCACAAAACACACACACACACACGCACGCACGCACGAGCGCACGCACGCACACACGCACACACACACACACGCACGCACGCACGCACACGCACGCACGCACGCACGCACACACACACACACACACACACACGCACACACACACACACACACGCACGACACGTACTTAGGATATCGGTGGGACACCACACAATGAATATTTAGACGTCGTCGCCGATCCGTCGCCTCGTCGCCGTCCGTCGTCTGGGCCTGGATGTCGGGCTGGCGGATCCGTGGTCGCCGTCGCCGCCTCGTCGCCGCCTCGTCGCATAATTGCACCACGTAAGGTGCATCACATGGATTGCGCCACATATATCATCCTCACTAGAAATATCATAATCTACTTCCCCCTCAGACTTAACGGCCCACGTTTTCGTTGCGTTTTTTTTTGATCGATTCCATACCTAGGCTTTGCCTAGAGGGTTCTTATTATCCCAGTGCGACCCTACCTAGGAGTTGGAGCCCCCTAGGAAAGCAGCATTAGTAGTAACAGTAAAGCTAAGAGAAAGCTAAGCTAAAGCAAAGCTAAATCTAGCATAAAGCTAAGCTAAATCTAAAATAAAGCTAAGCTAAAGCTAAGCTAAAGCTAAGACGAAGCTAAGCTAAAGCTAAGTTGAAGATACGTTACAGCTAAACTTAAGCTAAGCTAAAGCTAAGCTAAAGCTAAGCTAAAGCTAAGCTAAAGCCAAGGTAAAGCCAAGCTAAAGCCAAGCTAAAGCTAAGCTAAAGCTAAGCTACAGCTAAGCTAAAGCTAAGCTAAAGCTAAGCTAAGCTAAAGCTCAGCTAAAGCTGAGCTTAGCTAAGCTGGGTGAACCCAGGGGGCGCAACTGGGGGAACCGCGGGGCGGGGACTGGGGGAACCGCCCGGGGCGCTTTCCACTGCCCGGCCCCTTTAAGCTAGAGAGTAAGAACCCTTCTAGGCAGAGCCTAGGTAGGGAACTTTGTTTGCTTAAAAGGGGCCGGGCAGTGTAGGCCGCCCCAGGCGGTTTCCCCAGTCCCCGCCCCGCGGTTCCCCCAGTTGCGCCCCCTGGGTTCACCCAGCTTAGCTGAGCTAAACTAAGCTTAGCCTATCTCATCGTAGCTTAACTTAACTTAGCTTAGCTTAGTCTAGCCGAACTTGGCTTAGCTTAGCTTAGCTTAGCTTATCTCATCTCATGTTAGCTTGGTTTGGCGTGGCTTGGCTTGGCTTGGCTTAGCCCAGCTTCGCATACCTTAGATTACCTTAGCTTAGCGCAGAAAAGCGCAGCGCAACATTCGCACAACATAGCATATCATAGCATAGCATAGTCAAGCATAGCATAGCACAGCTCAGTATAACATAGCATAGCATAGCATAGCATTGCTTAGCATCGCACAGCGCAACATAGCATAGCATATTGTTGCTTTCCTGGAGGCTCCAACTCCTAGGTTGGGTCTCTTTGGGATAATGATTTTGCACACCCACCCATGTTACATATGAGCTCGTACTATCCGAGACGGTCCCTGATCGACTACCCCCTCATCCTCTGCAACAGAACTATGTGCGCATACTCGCTTATCAAGAATCATCAACTTGTAAGGCGCGAGCATGCCATAACCAAACAAAAACCTTCGGTTTCGCAAATGATTCGAAATCGAGCGTCCCTGAAACATAATTAGCTTGGCGAAGGACCCAACCATATGCAGTTGTGAATGCCGCAAAAATGTGGGTATCGCCTTCGGTGGAACTCCCTTTGGGGCCACGAAACATTGTAATGGGTGGGGGAGACGCATGCGAACTGCACCATTTGGACCTTCGGTCGGACTCCCTCTGGGGCCACGAAGCGCTGTACTGGGTGGGGGAGACGCATGCGATCTGCGCCACTGGGACCTTCGGTGGAGCTCCCTCTGGGGCCACGAAGCGTTGTACTGGGTGGGGAGACGCATGCGAACTGCGTCACTGGGACCTTCGGTGGGGCTCCCTTTGGGGCCACGAAGCGCTGTGCTGGGTGGGGGAGACGCATGCGAACTGCGCAATTGGGATCTACGGTGAATCTCCCTCTGGAGCCATGGAGCGCTGTACTGGGCGGGGGAAACGCATGCGAACTGCGCCACTGGGACCTTCGGTGGAACTCCCTCTGAGGCCACGAAGCGCTGTACTGGGTGGGGGGGACGCATTTGTACTGCGCCCGAGGACCTTCGTTCGAACTCACTCTGAGGCCACGAAGCGCTGTAATGGGCGTGGGAGACGCATGCGAACTGCGCCAATGAGATCTACGATGGAGCTCCCTTTGGGGCCACGAAATGCTGCATTGGGTGCGGGAGACGAATGCGAAATGCGCCACGAGGACCTCCGGTGGAGCTCCCTCTGGGGCCACGAAACAGTGCACCGGGTGGGGGAGACGCATGCGAAGTGCGCTGCGCCACTGGGACCTTCGGTGGAGCTCCCTTTGGGGCCACGAAGCGCTGTACTGGGCGGGGGAGACGCATGCGAACTGCGTTGCGCCACTGGGACCGTCGGTGGAGCCCACAGTGGGGCCACGAAAAGTTCTACTTGGTGGGGGAAACGCATGCGAACTGCGCCATTGGGACCTTCGGTGAATCTCCCTCTGGGGCCATGGAGGGCTGTGCTGGGTGGGGGAGACGCATGTGTACTGCGCCCCGAAAACTTTCGTTCGAACTCACTCTGAAGCCGCGAAGCGCTGTACTGGGCGTGGGAGACGCATGCGAACTGCGCCGCTGGGACCTTCGGTGGAGCTCCCCCAGGGGCCACGAAACGCTGTAGTGGGCGGGGGGGACGCATGCGAACTGCGTCAGTGGGATCTTCGGTGGAGGCCCCTGTGTGGCCACAAAGCGCTGTCCCTGGGCTGCGCGGGGTGGAGGAGGGAGGAGGGGGGGGAGGCAGAGGAGGAGAGGAGGAGACGAAATGAAAGGGAGGGAAAGGAGGAGGAACGCGGGGCGCTGTCTCTTCAAAACGAGGACCCAACACCATATGTTGGGAGAAAGACAAACGGTTTTGCAAGAAGAATGTTCAAACAAGAATGCGCTCACGCTCTTGTGAATTCGTGTGGCCCCCATCGGTTTTTCAAGATGTTAACCAAGTCCTACCGAACGTGCGTGTCGATATATTGGCAAAAACCTCCATCACCGACTCGAAGACACCGTCATCGTCACTGGCGTCACTGGCTTTGCCGTTGTCATCGTCATCATCGTCACCACCATCGCTAATAACATCATCGTGTCTCCGCTGTCGACGTCGCCATGGTGCCGCTCCCGCCGAAGTCACCGACTCGCGCTGAAGGGCCCGCTGGGGAGTGCCCAGCGGTCCGCGCCACCGCGGCCGCGTCGGTTGCGCCAAACTAGCTGGCCGCTATGCGCGCGAGCATGCGCGGATTAGCGCGGCCGGAGAAATCCGCCTGCTAACGCCAAGCGCTCAATTCAATCGCCGCCGCATGGGTTTGCAAACCAAGTTGCGGTTGGGTCGGTGGGATGATTGCGCGAACAACGGAGCTGACAAATCCAAGGTTCTCAAAAATAGCTGCACCACATTGGTTGCACCATGTGGGTTGTACATGATGGGTCGCAACACATAAACTGCCCAACGTAGGTCGCACAACCAAAATTGCACCATATTGACCGCGCAACAAAGATTATCTTGTTTACCCCCTTTTCGTGTTCAAACGACAGTGCACACCAGTCCATCCTATATATGAAATCGTGTCATCCCAATGAATCCGATACTGTCCCCCTACCCCATCCCCTGCATAATGCGAAATGCGAGCGCACCCATTACCAAAATTGCATAATTCCCTAGACTCCTTGTGCCAAACGTGCGGCGACATGCGCATGCGCGCGTCGTCGCGCGCGCATGCCGGCATCCTTCCAGACCCCGAGGGTTCGTATGGATTTCGAAATGGAAAGTTCCGAAAGCATATGCAAATACATGGTTTCACACAAACAAAGCCTGCGTTCACGCTCTAAAGAAAAAAATGCAAATAAAGAAAAACTGCCAGTTGTGCAACTTTTTCATAGGATGCGACTAAGGGGGCTTCGCGCGCGCGTGCTGGCGCAAAATACAGGGCCACGTGCACGCACGCGCGTCGTCGCGCGCGCGTGCCGAAATCACTCAAACAAACTATCGGTGTCGTTAAGCATTCACAACCGAACGTCCCGAATCTGTTTAGATGTACATTTATGTATGTATGTATGTATGTATATATATATGTGTATATATACATACACATAATCACATGGTGAGTTTGCAACATCAGCTTTCAAAAGCAGCCTGCGGTCGCGGCCTTGCGAATTCTCCAATCTATCATCGGTTGCTCAACATGTTCATTCTATTGACCAAACGGGCATCTCGCGAAACACTTCAAAATCATTCGCGCGCCCTTTGCGCGCGTGCTGGAGGGGGACGATCCGTGTCGAATAATACCGCGTGGGGCACTCTCGCGCGTCGTTCATATCAGACTCCTTCCAAAACCTGCGAGGACGCCGTCATCGTCGTCGGCGTGATCAACATCGGCACCGTCAGTAGCGGTGCTGCCGTCGTTGTCATCATCGTCACCATCATCTCTGCTCTCATCATCGCGCCTACAATTGTTGCTGCCATGGTACCGCGCCCGTCCAAGTCGCCAAATCTCACTGAAGTGTCCGCTGGGAAGTGCCCAACGGTCAGCGCCACCGCGGCCGTGTCGGCCGCGCCAAACTAGCTGGCAGCTGCGCTCGCGATCGTGCGCGCATTAGCGCGGCCGCATACATGTACCAGCCAGCACCAAACACTCAACGCAATCGCCGCCGCATGGGCTTTGCAAACCAAATTGCGGGTGGGTGTGTGGGACTGGTGCGCGAGCATATGGAGTTCACAACTCACCGCGGGCAGAAACTAATTGCACAACATAGATTGCACCACGAAATCCACACCAAAAGTTGCACCACATAGATTGCACCGCGTGGATTGCGCGGCATACGTTACGCAATCTAGGTTGCAAAGCGTACATTGCACAACATCGGTCGCACAACATCAATTGCACAACACTGATCGCACCGTATGTATTGCACCACACCCGTTGCACCGCACATATGGCACCACGTATATTGCGCCACCTATGCTGCTACACACAGAATGCACGGTCCATGTGTATGTGATGTATAGACATCGTGCTAGAACGCACACTGTTTGGGGCCCACGCTGGCTAACATGTAATTGCTTAGTTCTACTTCGCTCAAAACCCCAAGCTGGCATTGCAATTTCATGGCTAACAAGCAATCGGCAAATCACCTGATACACAGGCATGCTGCCATGACGGCGTCGACCATATTCAACCAACGCATCGTTGGCCATTCATGCATACATTGTTAACATGCGTGTGTGAATGGATGCGCATGCGCCGTACACCAAAACATAATTCGTACATACATATAACACGGAAACGCATCAAGGAACCATGCCAGAGGAATACACAAGTGTGCCGCACCTTTACATGACTGGCGCGAAACTCCAACATGTTTTGTTGCACATGACGAGCACACGACACATCAATCTGCCACTGATACACAAGGAATGCATGCGCAGTGCGAAGTTCTGACGTCAAGCTGGCACTTTCAAAACACAAAGGAACACACTCAACACACATCCTTTGCGTTAGCTGGGCTCATCGCCTGCTCCAGCTTAGCGCACAAGGCAGATATCGCAGACTAGGCACACATGCATCTCCAACTCACATCATGACATGCTGAATGCCCACTTATACTTCGAACATATTCAGAACACGGCTTTTGCGCCGTAGCTGGTTATGCAACACATGCAATATCCCCTAGCCGTCTTGCAGACCGTGTATGCGAGCCCCTCCCAATGGCAGAACACTTGCATCAAACTGTTATGCGGTCGGTTTACCCTCACGTTTGGTGTTGAAACGATTTTGGGCGCTTACTTGCCTCCGCTCTTCCCGAACCCACCAGAACATCACCCACTGTGACGATGAGCAACGCATCGAACCGTGGAGAATCTGATTGACGCACAGCTGAACAGGGCCCAATACAACACCAGGAAGGCACACTACAGACCCAAGAGGGCCCTACATCAGCCCGAGACAACCACAACACGGTTGAGACCGCGCCCGCCCCCCCCCCCCCCATGAAAGCCCGCCCAAAAACACAAGCCAGCTTGAGATGGTATGGTCTACGGTGCTCGAAATGTCGCCACCCAGAATACTGAGATGCCACGGTTGCCGCGGTGGCGGGACTTGCCGCAGGCACCTGGATTGAATGAAATGGTCAGTCAGCCTTCCTTCTCAGCCGCTTCCTCAAGGCCTGAAGGCGTGGCAAACCCATTATATTCAAATTCAAACGACGCTCTGCTGGAAAAAGAAGTCGGCATCCCCTCACAACACAATATTTGTCTTGCCAGACGCTGGCCCCAATGCACTCGGAACGGGAAGGAGGGGCAGGGGAGGGGGGGAGCGACAGGGGAAAGGAGGATAAGAGGGCGAGAGGAGGAGGAGGAGGAGGAAAGAAGGATAAAGGAGGAGGAGGAGGAGGAGGAGGAGGAGGAAAGAAGGATGAAGGAGGATGAGGAGGAGGAGGATAGGAGGGCGAGAGGAGGGGGAACAACGATCCCCGACCGCCCCTGACCCCTAGAGACGGAGGTGTAGAAGGGAGGAGGAAGGATGAACAGTTAGTGGGAGGGAAACAGGGAAGGAGGAAGAGAGAGCATATGAGGACAGGTGCTGACGGAGGTGAGCAAGAAAGAGGAAGGAGGATAGGAGGTTTAATGAAAGTGGGAGGAAGGATGAGGGCCACAATATTCGAGGACGTGTTCTTGAGGTGTGCACAGCTCGTTAATTTCAAGCGAGGCAAGACAGAAACATTATTCTGGTTCGTTGGCCCTGGTTCTGTCGAGACGCAGCGGCAGCTGTTCTGCGAAGCCGGGGGCCTCGTTCACTTCGAGGCTCGTGGCGTGCAGCGCCAGCTGGCTGCGACATCCCAATGCAAGCACGTGGGTACACTAGCGTGCTCCACAGGTTCAGTGCACCCAGCGATCACTGCAAAAATCAGCGCGTTGAGATGAATCTTTCCACAACCTGCGTTGTGCCGAGGGGTGATGTCTACGCGCGGTCTTCACCAGGCGGGTACGTGGCCCTAGTTGCGCACTGCTGAGCTGATGAGAGTCCACACGGCTGTGATGCAGGTGTGTCCATCAGCTCAAAGAGAGCTTGAACGACGTTCGTTGCCCGTCGCACCAGTCCATTTCTATGCTTCATCGCACCCACGACCATGCTCTTGTGCACGCGAGTGGGGCTGTTCAGCAGGGTGTGTTTGAAGGCCCCGCGCGCTCTGTGCGTTGCGGTGTCCCACACCATTGGGGTTCGCAAGTCCTGGATGCATGCTGTTTCTGCCGATTTGGACTTGCTGATTCCGTTTTCTGGCTCGTTTTCGGAATCCGACATAAAGCTCACAGGAAAATGGGTTCCTGTGATCAGTTCCAATCCGAAACGCTTCAGAGCGGCGATGCAAGACGCTAGGCATGAACGTGCGTTTAACGAGGTGCGGACTTGGGCCCAAACCCGGCGGCTGACCGAAGTTAGCAACACTTGATCGTGACATTCTTGTTCGTAATTACGCTTGTGAATCAAGGCAGAAACTGGCCACCCACGCTTTTTCGGTGCATGGTGTAATGCGCCACACGCGTGACCTCATTGATACCATCCATTGTCCTGCACGCATGCAGCTGTTCCATACTCGCGTGAGGGTGGTGACCCCTTTGGAAGAACGCGGAAAAATGCCGTGCTGTCGTTTGGGCGACTTTCAGCAAATTGCCGGACGATGTCATTACTGACCTTGATCGGAAGGACGCCAGGGACACCCGCGAGCGAGCCAGAAAAAACCAGAAGCCACACCACGCTGAAGCTCCTGTCGGTCAGTCGGAAGGCCCGTGGACTTTGGAAGCGTCTGAAGCCGGCTAGAGCCATAACTCCCCCCACTTCTTGTCTCTCTCTCTCTCTCTGTCCAGTGAGCCAAGAGGCGCTGCTACAACACTGAAGTTCTCTTAAGGAGGGTCCACCCGTGAACTGTCCTTTTCCTTGTGCCTACGCCATGCACGTTTCTCCTCGCATGCGCACGTTCCAAGTTGCTCGGAAAAGAAACGAGGAGAATGGGGAACAGGAGGAGGACGACGAGGAGGGGGGACAGGAGGAGGATAAGGAGGAAGGAGCGGAGAAGGAGGCGAAGAAGCATAGGAACAAGAGAGGGGGGACGAACTATTCCCGACCGCCCGCACCGAGCATGCGAGCCAGCTGCCCGCGCCGCAAGAGCCCACACGGCCACAGGCAGAGCGGGCCCCAAAGCCAGCCGAAGAAAAGGATCACGGTGCAGGAGGGCCCCCGACGTCCGCCCCAGGCAAGCACGACGGCAACACGAGTGCGTTGCCGTGCCCCTTCGCAGCTGTTCGGCAAGGCCTCCCCATCGCCGTCGTCGCCTCCTCCTCCTTCTCCAACTTCTCCTATTCACGTTGGACCCACAGAAGCATCAAGGCTGTTGCGTTCACCCAACTTCTCTTCCTCCTCCTCCTACTTCTCCTCCTCCTACTTCTCCTCCTCTTCTTCTTCTTCTTCATCATCATCATCATCATCACCATCATCATCATCATCATCATCTGTCATCCACCCTCTTGATATTCCTCATTCACCTCACGGAGACCTTCCCCCCTTCGCTTTAGCGTAAGTCTCTTTAAGTTGTCTTAAGTTTCCCTGGATGCGAGAGCTTGCTCCATTTCCTGATTGACTTCAGCCTCATGCAATACATCCTCGCCACCGTCGTCCTCCCACTTTCGCAGCTCCTCCTCGCCATCGTCTTCCTCCCCCCACTGCGCTGCGTTCCGATGCGTCCCCGCTTCGCCCCGCGCCGCGAACGCGGCGGGCCTCAGCCGAGCCGGCCGAGCCAGGCGGCCCCGCGGCCTCAGGAACGCCAGGGGCCAGAGTGGTCCCTCCTCCCTCCTCCCACCTCGCCGCTTCCTCCTCCTCGTCCGCCTCCCTCCCTCCCGCGCCCTGCCTCCGCACCCTCACGAACATGGCTCGCCCCACCTCGCTGTGGCCATGGGCACCACCCTCTCGGGCTGTCACTGATTCCCTGGGCAGAGAGTGGGTCCCCTGACCCTCTCTGCTGCGCTACGTACACAGTGCAGCTTACAGGCCAAGGTCCTGTGAGCCAGGTGGGATCCATGAACACGTGCGGAGATGAGCTCAGCGAAGCGGATCTCAACCGACTTGCAGTACCTGCGAATCCGTTCTGAGGGCGGGAACGTCCAGCCAATCCAGCATGCTGTTGTTGCTGGACAAGCCCCAAGTGAGGAACTGGACGTAGTTCGTACATTCCTGGTACCCCTGGGGCGCGGCGTCCACGACCGCTGCTGGAGTATGCTTGCATCCGTGCCCTAGGCCGCTGTCCCAAGCGTGGCCAGAGAGGAGATCGCGTGCGAGATCTGCGTCATCAGGAGTGACGAAGTTCAGGAGGGCGTGCCCCATGTTCAGGGTCAGCGCGTCTCCAACCGCCTGCACGCGCGGCAGGTACACGAAGTCGCACCGCGAGAGCAACCCCAAAGCGTCGAGCGTCCACTTCAGCATATTCTCAGTGTAATGTGCTGGCACGTTCATGAGCGTCAGAGAGGTGGGGCGGGGCTCGCTTCCCAAGCTCCATCCCGTCGTCGGCGGTGAGCCACCAGCCCAGGCCTGGGGCGGGTACCAACGCCCCGCCAATATCATATCTGCAGGCGTTGGCTCCAAGCGGGAGCTTGCAGGACACGCATGCGGTAGTGACGAGCATGCAGACAGCATGGCATGATCGATTCCAATCTACTCTACTCCACTCTATTGATACTACATTACTGACCCATGATCTGATCTGCTCTGCGCTACTCTACTGTAAACCTCCCGCCGCTCGTGTAAAGATAGGGTCCACACATACAAGCAACTATACATATACTCATCGGCTCGGCTCCATACTATTTGCTCCCTGTCCTATGCTCTTCGCCGTGCGACTGCTGCTCCCGCCTGTCTTCTATCTAGTAGATGGTTCCCAGCGTGGACACCAAACAATGAGTTCTTGCACTCTGGCTGCGTAGATTTTGTGGTGCTACACGATGTTTAGTGCAAACTATGCGCTCTGCAAGGGTGACTTCTATGTGTGGTGCGAACTGCCTAGAATAAACGATGCTGCGCAAGCGATATGGTGCAGTGTATGTGTTGTGCAAACTATGCGGTGCAAGCTATGTCGCGTACGGTGTGTGGCGGGCAAGTTATGCGGTGTACGCTGCGAGATGCGAACGACATTGTGTAACCCGTGAAAGAAATTCGAGCACTGGAGAGCAACCAGCGCGAGGCGACCATGAAACGCCAACAGCCGCCCACTGAACGAAACCTCGGCATACCCGCCCAGCGCATGGGCAGGCAACGGGGCGCCCACGGCCGCCCGTCAAGCGACACCTTGGCAAACCCACCCGGCGCACGTGCCGCCCAGGAGGCGCCCACGTCCTCCCACTATGGGAAAGCCCCAGAAACCCACCCCACGCACGGGGCGCCCGCGAGGCGCCATTGGTCGCACACCAGGCGAAACCCCGGCAGCGCCGTCCAAGGCACGGGGCGCCCACGAGGCGCCCACGGCCATTCACCAGTCGAAACCCCGGCAACAATCCCACCAAGAGCACGGGGTGCACACCAAGCGCCCACGGCCACCCGCCCAGCGAAATCTCGGCAAACCCACCCAGCGCACAGGGCGCCCACGAGGCGCCCACGGCCGCCAAACAGGCGAAACCTCGACAAACCCACCCAGCGCACACGGCGCCCACTGCCGCCCACATGGCGAAACCTCGGCAAACCCGCCCAACGCAAGGGCCGCCCACGACGCGCACATCGGGCGAAACCTCGACAAACCCACCTGTGGACAAATGAAATGTTAACCAGAGTGAGCTCCACAAAAATGGTTTTAGCCACCAGTGTTGTGCAATGTATGTGGGACAATGTATGTGGCACAATCGATATTACGCAATATCGTATGTGCACTATATGCGGCGCAACCACTTCCTGCAATGAAAATGTTGCGGCCCATGTGATGCAATACGTTTTGTGCATGACATGTGGAGCAATACGCGTGGTGCAATATAAGTGATGCAATCTATGTTGTACAACATATGGTGTGCAACCCCCAAGAAAACTCAGAATTGTCAGCGCCACCGCCCGCGCAATCAACCCACCTGCCCACCCGCAATTTGCTTTGCAAAAACCATGCTGCGGCGATTGCGATGAGTGCTTGGTGTTGGCTGGTGCATCTTTGCGGCCGCGATAACCCGCGCATGCTCGTGCGCATAACGGCCAGCTAGTTTGGCGCGACCGACGCGGTCGCGGTGGCGCTGACCGCTGGGCACTTCCTTGCGGGCACTTCAATGCGAGCCGGTGGCTTGAACGGGCGCGGTATCATGGCGACGCCGACAACAGTAGACACGGTTTTGATAACATGAGTTTGACGATGGTGGCGATGACGACGGCAACACCGATGATGGCGCCGATGTTGATCGCGCACGCCGATAACGATGACGATGTCCTCGCGTCGGCAATGCAGGTTTCGGATGGAATTCGACATGCGCGCGAGGCCCACGCGCGCGAGTGCCCCGCGTGGTATAATTTGGCACGGATCGTGGCCCCCCCAGCACGCGCGCAAAGGCGTTCGAATGATTCCGACATGCGGCGCAAAAGGCCCGCTTGGCAAAACATGATGCACATGTTGAACAACCTGTGGTTGTCTTAAGATTGCGCAGGAGCGCGAGCGCAAGTTGCTTGTTTTTAGCGATGTTGCAAAACGATGTCTTGCGACGTGTTTTCGGAACATGTTTAAAGTCCTTACGACGCCGAAGGTTTTTGAATGATTTCGGCATGCGCGCGCGCCGACGCGCGCGCGCACTTCGTCCCATTGTTTGCAAGGGGCTCTTGCGATGTCACGTGCGCAAAATGGTTTTCGAACGATTTCGACACGCGCGTGCGCGAGGCCCGTTTGGTAGCGCGTTAAAGAAATGCTGAGCAACCCAAGAGCGCGGGCGCGGGCCTTGTCTGAAATCACATGTTGCTAAACCATGTGCCTCACGTGCGTTCGCGACTCTAGGTTTTGAAATCCGTGCGGGGAAAAATGGTTGAAGGGTTTCGGCGTGCGCGCGAGGCGACGCGCGCGTTTGCACTTCGCCCCGTTCGCTCGCTGCAGGGAATTCCTGAAAATTGAAGATTTGTGATGCGCGAGTGCGCGCGCAGAGTGTCTTTTGCGAAGGAGGATGAGGGGGGGGGGGGGCGATGACAGCCCGCGTGGGATGGTCAGAATAAACATTTCGGATAGGCGATGGGGCAGAGCCATGCGAAAACTGCAATGCGAGAAGGTCTGCCGTTAAGTCCGGGGGGTGGTGGTGATGGGGGGATCCTACTTTCTTTAGTGATCGAACGTATATGGTGCAATCCATGTAGTGCACTGAATTGCTATTCGCAATGAGTTGTCCACTCCGCTGCTCGCGCAATCATCCCGCCCTGAAGCCCGCAACTTGTCTTGCAAAACCCTTGCGGTGGCGATTGCGATGAGCGTTTCGTGTTTACTGGTGCCTCATTGCGGCCGCGCTTGCTCGCGCGTGCTCGCGCGCGCGGCGGCCGGCTTGTTTGGCGCGGCCGACGCGGCCGCGGCGGTGCTGACCGCTCGGCGCTTCCCAGCGGGCACTTCAGTGCGAGTCGGCCACTTGGGCGGGCGCGGTGCCATGCCGACGTCGACACGCGATGGCGATAGTAGCGACGCTGGTGACGATGATGACAGCGCCGACGGCGCGGCCAGCGACGGCGCCGATGCTGATCACGCCGAAGGCGACGACGGCGCCCTCGCGTCGGCGACGAAGGTTTTGGCAGGAGTTCGGCGCGTCCGCGCGGCCGACGCGCGAGCGGCCCGCGTGGCAGTATTCGGCGCGGGCCGCCCTGCCCCAGCACGCGCGCAAGGACGTTCGAATGAATGGGCCATTTGCGGCGCGAGAGGCTCGTCTGGTATACGTCGTGAACATGTCGACCAACTTGCGATTTATATTGGAATTCGCAAGGGCGCGAGCGCATTGATTTAGACAGCTGATATCGCAAAACCAAGAATTTCTATGTTTTCGGGGCTTGGAATCCAGTTTACACCTAGAGCGTTTGAAGGATATCGGCGCGCGCGCGACAACGCGCGCGCGCTTCGCCCCGTTCTCCGCGAGGGATTCTCGCGACAACGCGCGCGCGCGAGGGCGTTCGGGCGATTTCGAGATGCGCGCGCGAGCGGCCCGCGCGGTGGCATTCCATGAACATGTTCGCACGGGCGCGAGCGCAAGTTTAGTTTGAACGTTCTTGTAGCGAAGCCAATTGTCTCTACATGTGTTCGGGGCGCTCGGTCAGGACATCCCTGCGCAGCCTGTGGATCCTGAAAGATTCCGGCATGCGCGCGCGACGGCGCGCGCGCCTGTGCAAGTCGTTCCACTTTTGCCGGGGGTTCACAATGCAAGCTGCTGGTGTTTGATGAACGAGTGCGCGCGCATAATGGTTTTTGCAGAGGGTGGGGGGCGAAGGGGCGGGCGGGCGGGGGCGGGGGTGGGGGCGGTGCGGTGGGGGGGGCGGCGGGGGCGGCGGCGGTGGCGCGGGCGGGTGGGGGTGGGTGCGTGTGTGTGTGTGTGTGTGTGTGTGTGTGTGTGTGGGTGGGGGGGGGGGCGCAGCTTTAGCTGAGGGAATCTGAATTTATATCTAGTGCGGGCGACGGGGGGCGCGCGCGCGCTTAATATGAAAACGCAGCGCGACAAAGGGCGCCGTTGAATCCAAGGGGGGGGGGGGGGGGGGGGGAGGTCAATCTCTCTTGTTATACAAATATCTATGTTGTGCAATCCGCTCTGCTGAACTTGAAGTCGCCATCTCTCCGCTGCTCGCGCGAACGCCCCGCCCTCACGCCCGCAACTTGAATGCCGCAACTCATGGCTCGGGGGCGGCGGCGCCGCTGATGGCGACATCGATGATGACATCCTCGCTGTCGATGCTCGTCACCGCGAGTCGATGGTGGGGGTGGGCATATCGACGATGCTCGGACGTCCGCGATGACATGGACGTCGGCAACGTCTGCGACAATTTCGAAGATGGCATCAGCGACGACGATGTTCAAGAGGGCGACGGCACGAACGATAACTGCACCTACGATGGCAAACGCGTCGACGATGCTAATGTCCATCTGTCGATGGGGCAGGTGATCGCGGTGATGCTGACAATGTTGAAAATGACATGCGCGCGGAAGTTCAATGCGTCCGCCGGACTGATCGCGCGCGCGGGCGGCGGTGCGCGCGCGTGGCCCGCGTTGAATTTGTTACAAGGGATTCGCGCCCTCGGCGCACAACAAGAGTATCGCGGGTGCACCGCGCAGTGACATGAAATCGCTAGATTTGGCAGAGTTCATGAGAATCCTATGGTTGTTGTGCGAATTTATCATGGGCAAGCGGAAAGGACATTTGCCCCCAAAAAGGTTACACAACCCTTAGGTGCTTTCTCGTTGTTTATGATAAAGTGCTTGCAAACTGACTATGTTTGGTACGATTTTGACATGGATGCGCGTGTGATGACTTTTTCTTCCAACAAGGGACTTGCAATTTGCTTTCTTAAAGTGAAGAAGTGCGCTCGCATACTATGATTTGACAGGGATGGCGGGG